ACCATTCCCCCACCGCTTCTCGATCGTATGGAGACCATCCAGCTCTCCGGTTACACTACACTTGAGAAGAGGCATATCGCATCAAGACATCTGATTCCGAAGCAGATCACCAGCAATGGTCTCCACCACGAGAACCTCAACATCCCGACCGACGTGCTCGACAAGATCATCACATCCTACACACGCGAATCCGGTGTGCGAAACCTCGAACGCGAAATCGGCTCCGTCTGTCGTTCCAAAGCCGTCGAATACGCCACGGCGAAAGACACAAACACTCTCGCAGCGTACTCCCCTGTTGTCACCTTGGAAGATCTCGATACCACGCTCGGCATCGAGAAGTTTGCCGAAGAACTCACTGAGCAATCCTCCCGCCCTGGTGTTATCACAGGGCTGGTCGCATATAGCACCGGCGGGCAAGGCTCTATTCTGTTCATCGAGATAGCAGATATGCCCGGCTCAGGCCGCGTCCAGCTTACCGGCAAACTAGGTGACGTACTCAAGGAGAGTGTAGAGGTAGCCTTGACTTGGGTCAAGGCCCATGCATTTGATCTCGGTTTGAGTGCAAGCCACGACGAAGACATCATGAAGAGTCGTAGCATCCACGTTCACTGCCCCTCTGGTGCTATTCCCAAAGACGGTCCCAGTGCCGGCCTCGCGCACACCATCGGACTTATCTCCCTCTTCTCTAACCAACCCGTTCCGCCTACATTGGCCATGACTGGTGAAATATCACTCCGCGGAAGAGTGTTACCTGTCGGCGGTATCAAAGAGAAGCTGATTGGAGCGCTGAGGGCGGGCGTCGAAAGAGTACTCCTTCCCGAGGGCAACAGAAAGGATGCTAGGGATCTGCCGTTGGAAGTCACCCAGGGTCTCAAGATTGAGTTTGTAGGCCACATCTGGGAAGCTTTGGGCAAGGTTTGGCCCGAGAGATGGGAGGGTGAAGACGGAAGGAGGGGATGGGAGAGCAGATTGTAGACTGTGGACTGTCTGAGTGTTGGGCTTTGGTGGGGTTGGAAAGGAGTTGGATTGGTGTCTTGCATTTAGCGTTGCATTCGTTACTGCTGGTCTGTGTATACTGTATTAGCTACCTATACTCACATCTCTCACATTACCCATCACTGGTATTTCTTGCCTGTTGTGTCTCAGGCGTTCCCGTTCGATTCTGGCATATTCTCAAATGCTTCTCTCTAACCTTGCTCTGTTGCTCTCCAGATTGCAACTTCGTCAAAAGTGGTCATTCATCAAAGATCTCAGCTGATTGCGACCTTTTCAACGCAGGCCATCAAGCCACGCAATTAGCTGAAAGGAAGAAAGCTTCCTGCTGCCCGGGCATACAGTCATCTTGTCGATGCCACATCGTTTTGTTCCGAAGTATGTCCGTCACCCTGGCATAGGCGACTGTCTCGGGTTGAAAAATTCAACATGATGGCTGACAGCCTGGACTTTCTGCTGGCGACCTAGACGTATATCCATACTCGTCATATGCAGACAAAGGAAGAGTTGTTTCATCCGGAGAATCTCATATGCTGACAACCGTGCTTCCTGGTTCTCCAAACACTCTTCCAGACTTCAACGGCGTCGTCTCGTGCGCTCAGCGCGATGAGCGATGAGCGATGAGCGATGAGCGATTTCAAAAGCCATGTCACAGTCATGGAACTGGCTCACGTTGCGAATCCAAAAGACATTTGCGTCTTTCCATTTGTCCTGTTCGCCACAAATTATCGAAATCATACGAAGGTCTTGTAAACAAGAGCGGGGTGGATTCAAGGCGAAAGAGAGTGTCAGAACATGTGGAGTCTCGAGAGCGAAGGCGGGGAGACTACAGCTTACACACTCTAAATTTCATGATCTGCAGCTAAATACACAGTTCATGACGAGGGGCATTCTCTAGTTGGTCGAGGCAAGATTCCCGACTTGGCTCAAGCCTGGTACATACACATCTTCTGCCATGCAAGGTTTCGCCTTGATGCTATGAGGTCTGCCGTGCTTTTCGTCGGCGCTAAGAAAATTCCAACGATGTCTCTGTTCCTCCTGAAAGCGCCATGGTATATAAGCTGTAAAGTCCTACAACACGGGTGCCCTGGATTCAAAACCACGAAGGCCGAATATTGAAAAGTGGTCTGATGAACCACATACAAGGGATTTTTGATAGCAATATGTACCTGTATCCCATATGTGTCATTTTTGTTCAAGAAATTTGTGACGGTGTGTTCCTGATCATCTTATTGCTGTCTTCTCTTGATTGCCCATGTTATCGCAATGCGAATGAAATAGCGCCATGACTTCGTGGAACCTGATGTGAGACTGGTGGTTATAAAAAGCGACACTATTGCTTCGGGAGGCGACGAGATGTAACGATATCGAATATTGACCGAAGTCGTAGCGTCCAACCGGTGATGCTTCCACATTGTCACATCTCCGAATACTTTGCGAGCCATTCTGTCCTCCACGCCTTGCACAGCGGAGATAGGCGGTTCCGAGCACGCGTCACCCTTCCGGCAGCCTCGGTGACAGACCCTGTCTGTTTGAGCGATACGCTGGATGATCTCCCTATAGCAGATTCCGAACGCGAGCTCAACACCCGACCGTTGCAGCCCAAAATACCGGGAAAGGGTGGGACGGAATGGTGCGGAGGCGGAAGAGGACTGAGCTCTGCGCGGCGCACGGGGACCTACCCCCTAACTTACTCTTACGGTGATGTTCTGGCCCAGACGACTGAGTCAAGCTTTGCCGTACCGCTGTCTCCACTACGGTACTTGTTGGCGTTTCAGAGACCCTGCAACAAATCTTGCAGAGCGAGGCGACGTTGGTAGACGGATGTTGTAGCTTCACGACGGAGCCTAACAACGACTATGCCCGGGTCCGATGCAAAGTATTAATTTGTTCGCCAGGTTGTCTGCTCCTTGCGAAGTCGATCACGCTTGGCTTTGGGGTGAAATTGCTTATCGTGGGACGTCTTGATGAATCTGTTCCGGTATTTTTTTTTTGCATATGACAAGACATCGTAAAAAGTGAGTCGACCCAGAGGAAACACGTATAACGTTGAGGGCTTCTAGTATTAGAGCATTGCGGCATGTTGTAAAGCGTAGCTGATGGACCTATGCCGCGCTCCGTCTCAGGATGCTGGGATTTCTAGGCCTTTCTGTTCTTGCTGACTCCTGCGATATGGTGCATCAACAACATGCGTTTTCACTCAAACCTAATGATTTCGAGTCTCCGCCAGACAAAGGCCTTGTCAATCTCACGAAGCGCCTACATGGGATGCAATTTCGGCAGTGTGCACCGAGATGCAAAGCGGCTTCGACGTCGCATTGGAATGTCGCAGTCGTCTAGACTTAGTACGCGTCGCGCAAGGCCCGAGGCATGTTAATGCTGGAATACTGCGATGGATAAGGGTAGCAACGGCGGCCAGCAGCGGTGGTGCCGGCTCGGCAGGCGGAAGTTGCCGTTGATTGCATGTGCGCGGTACACGCCCGACACGTGCGTGCAGTACAAGGTACCAGCAAGGGAATGATGGGCTGTTGATGGAAGACCCAGAAACCACCGGGGAGTAAAAGTTAGAGTTCGGCTTGACTGCTAATGAAAGCTTGCTGTTGCCGACTCTTCAAGCGGCAAGCGAAGAGGGGCGTGATCCCCACAGCACCCAGGTCATCGGGCCAGCCATAATTACATAAGCTTCTCCACCGATGGCATGGGCTGGTTGAAACAGCACGGATCGTCGCTGCACTTGGGAGGTTGTCGTTGCCAGACTCGATATGGCACCATGGCTTCCCGACTGTCCGCCGTAAGCTCCGATCCAGCCCATGGGTAGAGCTGCATACATGCCCAAAGCCCACCGGCGGCGAGAATTTCGGCGGTACAGTACCTCTTGCAGCGTCGATGACATCGTTGCTTGGCCGCTTCATCTCATGGACGAAACGGCCGACATGCCCAGGTGTGTGTCAGGCTGCCAACGCAGCAAGCGGATTGTCTGTAAGTGGATTACCGACTGTAGCGTACTAAGCCGGCCGCTGAAGGTGCTGCACTGTGGCTCTTGGCAGGTGCGATGTAACCGATGGAGCGATGCGTGATTGAGCATGGATTTGCTGAATGCAGCGCTGCAAACAAATGCAATTTATGTCACGGAATCGTGGGCAGGCGTCGAATCAGCCAGGCGCTCATTTGCTGGATAAAGCGTGTTGGGTCAGGCTGTCTGTCGAGTGCAACGCCGCACGCTGTCAGGTGTGCCCAACAGTCGATTGGATGTTCCCGAGTGAGATTGGAAAGGTGAAAGGGTCTGCTGAGGCAGAGTTCCAACGTGCTACAGTGTCGACCTGATGTGTGAGTTCAGAGGCTCTTGAGCCCTGTCAAACCTTGGTGGGTGGAGGGCCCCAGGCTGCGGGCACAATGTTCCGCGGAGCGGCGAAGGCCCTCGTTCCGTCATGGTGGCCGCTGGCACCCAGACTGATCGATGCCTGGAATGGACGCAGCTCCGCCGCGATCCCGCAGCAGACGTCGAGCCGTGGGCACCAAACAGCGACGCAGGCTCGGTTGCAGCCAGAATGCATGCAGCCGTCGTGTGTGCGATTGTTCCCCGTGCACAACCCGAGCCCTGGACTGCTCGTTGCTATTCGCCTCCCCCGGCGGTTCTCCCAGCGATAGAAAAAGTCCTTCGCCGTAGTCAGCCGCAGAAGTCGCATACATTGCAGCAGGCAATGCCCTGATATTGTCCGCTTTTGTAACGAACGGGTCGCGCTAGTTTTCTCAGCCACGCTTGTGTAGTTCGGGGTCGATTCCAGCGCAGTGGGAAGCCGGGTCATGGCCTGATGCGCACCGCTCTGCACATACATACATAACTTGTGGACCGCCACCTTTCGTCACATCGCCATCGCCAGGTCTCGCCGGGCAGCTTTGGCAAACGGTTAAAACTGCCAGTACGCCTTTTCACACTTCTCAGGGTTGTCCTTGGGCGTCGAATAGATTGCCGCCTACCAAACCTTCGGTGTCCCGACACGTTCCAGTGGCCAGACTCCAGGGATTTTTAGTTGAGCTGCATGCAGGGCTGGCTTTCAACGGCGCAACCTCGTCACCGGATCGCATGTGCTTGGGTCCAAGCCGACTCTGTTCATAAGTTAGCAGTGCCCCTTTGTTGCATCCCGATTTCGCAGACACCTTCTTTGCGACGGCAACCATGACGACACCAGCAGATACTGGCGCGGCGGACAAGGGCAAGAATGTGGAACGCGGCACCCTTGGGAAATACGTGAAGCGAATGAGCACTGTGTTCAAGAGGGAGAAATCGAACAAAAGTGTACCGACCCTGGCGCCCGAGCCATCGTCAGCTCCTCAAGTCGAGCAGCAGCAGCAGCCCGTTGAGAAAGAACTTGCGCAACCTGACAAAGCCGACCCAGAAGTCGCACCTGCCACGTGAGTTTTCACAATGCGGCATCTTTAAAAACACATGTACTAATTCAACAAGACCCATCACTCCCGCAGTGTCAGTACCACCAACTCCCATTACCAAGGAGATGGATCGCAACGCCATGCAGCAGGAAAGAGCCCGCGCCCTGTTCGCCAAGTACGGCCTCACTCTTGAGTCGCACGAGTGGATCGCTGCACCAGCTCCAAAGCCCACCATCCAGCGTGTCGAGAAATCGATCCGTATGCGTGTCCATCGCAGCTGCCACCGCTGCGGAACCCTTTACGGCTCCGACAAAGTGTGCCTGCAATGCGAGCACAAGCGGTGCAAGAAGTGTCCTCGTTTCCCCAAGAAGAAGACGCCGGAAGAGAAGCAAGCCGAGAAAGATGGTATGGAGCAACCAAAGCGAAAGAGAATGCTCACCATCCGGACTCGTGGCGGCGATGAGTTGGTATACCAACCCGCGAGACAACGCATCAGACGTAACTGTCATGTCTGTGAGAACCTATTCGTTCCTGCAACGGCGAACGTCTGCAATTCATGCCAGCATGTCCGATGCACGAAATGTCCGCGCGAGCCAGCCAAACTCAGCAAATGGCCTGATGGTTATCCGGGCGATGCGGAGCCTGACAGCGAAACGGAGGTGGAAAAGCAGCTGGAGAAATTCAGACGAACCTGGCGAAAGCCGAGGACTAGGGTGCGCTGGCAGTGTGAGAAGTGCAATGGCCTTTTTCATAACAATTCGCCGCAATGTCCTGGATGTGGGCATGAGAGATGCGACAAGTGTACCAGATCACCGTGAGTATACATCTTGCAGGAAGTCAAGCATATCGCTAACACACCACAGTGTTAGGAAACCCGAGAAAGGTGAGCATTTTGATTCCCAGGTCGTTGCGGCCGTGGAGGCTAAGCTGCGAGCGATGGACGTTGATGACGATTCGGCTCCATCTGCAGCTGAGGCTACCTGAGGGTGCAGTCCTGACTGGATGCCAACGCTCGAACAGGATAATATACTCCGGTTCCCGATTCTTTCGACATCTTCTTACCATATCTTTGCACCAGTGTTATGCTTTACTTGATGGTGATACTATTGAAAATCAACCGCCTGTATTTGCACGCGTCGACTCACGGCCATGACCTATTCACTGTCGTGCTCGCTATCATCACTGTGCGACTGAGGTGCATGTTCCACAATAAGTCGGCATCAACATGTCGTACAACCCCTACCATACCTCGCCTCTCTACTGCCCACCGGTCTGATGTTGGCCTTTCTACAGTGTCGGTCTCCAGAAGCCGCACGTTTTGTTAATTCTCTCAAGACTTCTTTCACTTCTCAGCATGTTTGAAGACGATGTCCAAGCCAAACGACTTAGCGTCATAACCGCACCTCCGTTGGTAGCTTGTACATGCACATTCCCGAGGAAATTTCTGCAATGCAGTGTAACCTCTGCATGTGTATCTGTACCAGCCATCCCACTGTCTGCTAGGGTTGACATGAAGTGGCGTTTCCCAGTGCGTAATGCCGGCTTTTTGTTCTACAGTATTCCGTCACGCTAGGTGGATGTCGTGTCTGTACCACGGGTACAGCGTGTGTCAAACTCATTGTTCGGGACATCTGAGGCTGCCATTCCGGTTGGAAAGGTTTGTGGGCACTTCAGGGACAAGTCACGTCTAGACAAGAAGTTCAAAGCTTCACCATCATTGGCTTTTGCCAAGTAGCGACCGCCTGGGCAGTGTGATGCGAGTAATGGTGTAGTTTCTCAGCGCTCCTGTATCACTTCCAAACTTTACTTTATGCGCCCTCATTTACGTAGGTATGTATGAGCGCTTACCTGTCACTTTGAACATCTCGAATCCGCCGTGCGAAGCCTGCTTACTTGATGTCGCACAGCGAGCATTCAAGCGGGGAAGTGGCACAGACGTCCTCGTCCGCGTGTTGGAACATCACGACCCTTCAAATCGTCCTTCAGGTCCTTCACACAACGCTAGTCTCAAAACAGGATATGGTTGTCAGTGGATGTTTTCGGCTCAGATAGTTTATAAATCTGCCTGCTAGACATGTTGATGGCTTCACAGGGGAAGGACATCGAGGTATCCTCGGTCGCTATTTTCGCCCCAGCGGCATATTTCCGCACCCCACAAACTTGGTATCTAGCCATATAGTCCCCATCAAGCAATCCCTTCAAGATTAGTGCACGAATAATCATGATTGGTCCCCTGCTTGCATCAGTTCGACCCCACTTCATACATGCAGTTATTCTGCCCGGTTGGGATTGACTTGATAAGCGCAGGAAAGTAGAGTTTGTAGATTAATGTGGCGTTCTGAGATCCTAATCCAGGTGATCGGTTATCTGAATCCTTGATGATCGGCTACCAGTTGGGAAGATCGCTTAGATGGAATGGGTGAACGATGACTAGTCAGGTAGGAAGTTATGGGGTCTATATTGGTAGACGCATGGTATACTATTCAGTGACATTTGGGCGATGTGAACTAGTGTTATATCCCAGCGAGATGCACGCCTGTTAGAACATCTTTGTATGATTCTGGTCATGGGCTTTACCGGGTTTTGCCTTGTAAGCAGCTGTTTCGCTACATTATAGAGTGAGGTTGTGCAACGTGAAAGACGGGGGCTATTCCAACATGTCCGACGTACAGCCCAGCACAATACTTCGGGTATCCCAAGACTCCTGCTGATGCCTGGTGCGTCCTTGAAGCGAATGTCTTCGTTCAAAGATGTGATGGCTTTGTAGACATGACCTCGGGATATTGGGCCCGTATGTGCTGCGGGAATAAGAAGCGCCAGAGCCTGGGTGACAACAGGAGGATAGCCTATTATGACGTGACGTCCAAAAGCTTCCGAAACGCCCTCATTCTACGCGCCGTTTCAGGCGCGTGGCTGTGCACCAAAGACTCACCAAACGAACAGCGACCGCTCACTTGCCATTCTTGGCGCCAAGGCTCATCTGAGGCTGATACTGGCGCGGTGCAATCGGCTGCCCAATCACACGGCTCCGGGCCCCATGACCGCAATTACGGGGTAAGCCGCTCGTGAATGATCGTCAGCGCGTGTTTGCACGAACCTACACGGGGGTTTGCCCTGCTCTCTCTTGAACAATCTCACTCCTCCACACTCTCTGACACCTTTCTTCTTGCAATCTTTTTCAACTTTTCAACTTTTCAACTACAGTCGCTCCCTTAATCCACTTTACCAATCATGCGTTTCGTATCAGCGCTTGCTGTCGCGGCGGCCACCGTCAGCGGCGCCCTTGCGCAGGACTTCGTTCTGGGCTTCAACTCGGGAGCCTCTGACGACACTGGCAAGGCCAAGACACAGGCGGACTTTGAGAAGGAGTTCACCACAGCGCAGAACCTCGAGGGCGCGCCGGGCGACTTCACCGCTATCCGCCTGTACTCCAACATCCAGTGGCAGACGACCGACACTCCTATCGCCGCCTTCCCTGCTGCCATCAAGACAAACTCCAAGCTCCTTCTCGGTATCTGGGCCTCGGGAACTGAAGATATTGACAACGAGCTGAAGGCGCTGAACTCTGCTGTTGAGGAGTACGGCACCAAGCTGACGGATCTCGTAATTGGACTGTCGGTCGGTTCCGAGGATCTCTACCGTGTGTCTGAGCCCGGTATCCGGAACAAGGCTGGTGTAGGTAACAGCGCCGAGAAGATTGTCGAGTTCATCAAGGCCGCGCGCGAGCGTCTTGCCGACACTCCTCTTAAGGATGTCAAGATCACCCACGTCGACACCTGGACTGCTTGGGTCAACGAGTCCAACGCCGCTGTCATCGACGAGATCGACTTCTTGGCCGTGAACGCGTTCCCCTTCTACGAATCCGAGCTGGACAACAAGATTGACAACGCTGGCAAGCTCTTGAGCAGTGCCATCAGCGCAACCGAGGGTGTTGCTGGAGGCAAGGACGTGTGGGTTACCGAGACAGGTTGGGCATACAGCGGTCCAGACTTTGGTGCTGCCAAGTCAACTGTGGACAACGCCGAGACATACTGGAAGGATGTCGGTTGCGCGCTCTTCGGCAAGAAGAACGTCTTTTGGTACACACTCCGCGACGCCAACCCCGCGAACAAGGTCAAGTTCGCCGTCTCTGACAACCTCTCCACCACCCCGCGCTTCGACCTAAGCTGCCCGAAGGAACAGAAGGAGTTGCCATCAGCGGAGCCCGTTAACAACGGTACTTCATCTGGTGGCTCTTCAAGCAGCAACACCACCACTGGCGGTAACAACAACGACAGCGGTAACAACAGCGACAACGGTAACGACGGCGGAAACGAAAGTGCTCAGCAATCGGGCACCGCCGCCCCTAGCGGTACTGGAGCTGGAGCTGCTACTTCGGTCTCGGTCGTGAACTCGATGGCCATGGCCTTGTCGGTCGTCTTCGCTATTGCTGCCTGGGCCTTGTAAGCGTAGACCAAGTTTCCACAACCAGCTCACATGCTGTATTTCTTTGCGTCAGTGTAAGATAGATGAATGCGTTCACATGGAGTGGCGAGTGGATCACACTCGTACCTAGTTTGAGCGACCGGTTTCGCAGCACTAAGGTCTTGTAATATGCCTAGAGAATGAGATAGCTTTGTGTTGACGGCATTTCGAGCGCCATCTAGGCGAATCATGAAAGTGAAGTGTACATTGATTGAGGAGAGAGAAAAGAAAGGTGCCATCCACGCACTAGCTCATTGAGACGCGTCATGCCCCACACTCAAACGTAGCATCACTCCTGACTCCGCATCTTCCATGAGCCTCTTATTTTGTTGGAATCCACGAACGAGCACCCATCAATTATCATTCGAATAACTGAGAGGCCCATACCACTAAGTGGCTTGCAAAATCTGTTTCCACCCTGGCTGACGATTCATCCCCTCATGCCCTGCGTCCGATCCATCGTCTTCGCGCCATTCTTCAGAGAAAACCGGCCAAAGACATTCGACCGACTGCATCCATCAGACTCATCGGAATAGAAAAGCTGAGGGCTGCGGGTCTCGTACCTTTGCATTGAGTCCACGGTTGGGGCCATGTAGTGCGGAAGACTCGGCTGCGATTGAGGGGGTGGTGGAGTTGCGGGTGGTGTCGTTACGACATGTATCTCACCTTGTCTTTGACGAACGAAAGCTGTAGAGATAGGTGTATTGGGAGCCACAGAAGCCGGCGTCCAAACGGTGGATTGGGCGATTGGGCTGGAGTTGTGTCTAGGCGCTGTTTGCTCGGGTGTGGCTGGCGCAGGGCTGTGTGCCTGCACCGCCATGCTAGAGTTTCGAGACTGAGACTTTGGCTCTTTCGATTTTCTGAAGGGACTCATGGATGAGAACATCGATGTTGTCCGAGGTCTAGGAGTGGATGTGGGTGTCTTCGCTGTCGCCTTGGCTGCTCTAAACAGCCCTTGAGGCTTCGGAGCTAGAGGCCTTCTGGTAGGCGTTGTCGGCGTGAGTCTAAGCTTTTCTCGCAATTTCCCCGGTAATTCCTCGCGTTGATCTTCAAAGGAGCATGCTGCGTATGCTGACGGTTGTGTCACAGACTTCTCCTTCGGGCCCTTCAATGACCTTCTTTTCTCTTTCGGCCTGGTCGCTTTGGCCAATGCCGAGGCGTTCTTCGCCTTCTCTTTTTGTTCTCTCTCATCGATTTCACGGAGCTCCTGGAAATGAATCGCCTGTAGGATCAACATGCGAGCTTCAGCGTTGATGTCGTGTTCGTAGATCTCATGTACGTACGGCACGAAGTCCCTCCATGTCTGTATGTCTCCTGGTAACGGGAAGATCATATTCGCCGTCTGATAGACTCTTCGAAGGTCTCTCGGTATCTGTTTTGCGCCCATGATGGTGGGCAACAGACGCAAATGCTTTACAATCAGCTCTTTGGCTTCATAGATGAGCTTGCGCATACTGCCATGCAAGGATGCATGGGCACGGTTGCTAAGATTCGGATCGAGGACGCAACTCTCAGGCACTTCGAGCAAGTATCGATCGATGTCAGCATATCGAACCGGGATTGGGCTCTGCTCAGGCGGCCTAGAGCTGCCAAGAGCTGCTCTCAACAGCGTCATCGACGGGCTTGTAGCATGCTTCCCCAAACAAGGCTCATTCGGAACCGACGGTGTGTCGCAGAGCGCCGTGTTCATATTGTATTCCTGATCATGGGAATAATCAAGGATACACACATACTCGTGCCCAGGTTCCAGGCAGCCGAATAACCACTCCCATGGCCCGGGCATCTGCTGATTCATGCTGTGTATGATTCTCTTCATCGCTTCTTCGGATGTGGCGTGATCGACAAATAATCCTGTGTTCGCAATCAACTGTCCCAGCGATAGTTTGGCACTGCGGACATAGCTGACTGGTGCGGCGCCGATTATAGACTCACATGTGGAACTGAGCAGCGGCGTGTGACGAGTGCGACATTTCTCCCACTCAGGCCTCGAAGGCAGGACTTCGATACCACGACCAAAAACACGGAGAATGGCGCAAAGACTATACGGGTTCGCCGTTGCTATTCCGACAAGATCTCTTTGGGTAGATCTGCCGATATTGGAGTGCATGGCCAGGGCTTGTAGCATCGACTGTATGTTAGCTGCAAATTCTTCGCCAAAACATGTAATAAATGCTCACTCGTGTAGCTCGTCTCTGGTTGCGATAGCGTTTCACTACGAGCAGTTGTGTTATCCACCACACTCGATCGTCACCATGCATCCACTGGCTCACAAAGCAGTGCCCAACGTGCCGATCGTCTTTAGTAACAACCGTCACTAGGATATTGTTCGCGCCCTCAGGTAGACATTGAGCCCTTAGCCTAACTCGACTCATATGTATTGGTTTGCCTATACCAGAGTCAGCGATACGTCCTTGGCTGTCGACTTACACTCCAACAATGCCGGAGGACTTACCATACTCGGCCATCATTCCCATTACAAGATGTGCTCTCCAACTCCACACGCCGTAATCAGAAGAGAAGTTGCCAGCGCATATTTCCAGCTCTTCGTCCGTGACTACATCTCCGGGAATAACGCGATATACGATGTCTTCGTCGACATCTGGTTCTTCATAGAGGTGGTTAGACTCGCCGCGTATACAGTAATCGACAATATCAGTGCTAGCAGAGTCGCGGTGCACCATTTCTTCGGGTGAGCGGCCTCTTCGCGCGGTTGATGGTAGCTGGTAGTGCTTTATAGCGGTAGTCACGCTGTGTCCTCCTTGGAGATTGTTTCGATCTTGATATGGGGATTTCTCGAAAGAACTTGTTTGGGCACGTTGGAACAAGCTCAAAAACCAACATAGGCGACTTTTCCACTGTCAGGTTCGTTCAAGCGAGGGTGCAACCATGGTAGAGACCGCACTGCCCCATATCACCCTGCGTATGCATCAAGCAACCTCTTCATCGACTCATTCATTTTTGCGCGCATATATATCACTGATTTTGTAGTGATGTTCAATTCAAGAGCAGCTGGGTTTTCGTAGTACACTGTAGCAGTATTGCGCAAGTATATCATTGTCGTGCCTTGTCGTAGATTTTATCCCTTGTCTCGCGCCCCTCTCATATCGAAGTCATTGATTGGCCATCAGGTCGAACAACACTGGTTTGCTCGAAGTTAGTGCCAAGATCGAGCGCGTGTCAAACACTTAGCGACACCGATGTAGTGGACGGCAGTGACGAACCGTTGAATATTGGAAAGTTGGAGCAGCGCGAAACACGGCCGAGACCCAGTCTTAGTCAAAGGCGAATTCTCTTGTCAAGAAGTCGGTTGCAAATTGTATTATCCAGTGCACGCAAGAACGACCTTGGAGTGCAGACAGATATCGACAAGTAGTTCGGATGCAGTCGCAGCATCCGAGCCCACTGATTTCAGGGGGCTCTTCACCGGAACCACATCTCCGTATCTTCCATGTTCACTGTCAGCAATACTCAGGTCCCGCGACGCCACAAGCTATGCGTGGGTGCCTCATTAGGACACGCAAAAATAGCCTCGCGCCTTCTCATTGGTTCGCTCGCAAAGTCACGTGTACGGTGGGTCTTCTCCATGAAAGCGACGAAGTCGGGCGGGTCGCTTGGCGACCGTTGGCCAATTGCAACGCCAATCCAGCGAGGCGCTATGTCGGAAGAGGTAATGTACGAAAATGTGGCCTGTGCACACGTAAGATAACGGCAACGGAGGATGAAGGGATGTTTGGTAAGGCAGTGTCCAGGTGGAGTCTATTGTTTTGGAATGAGGCTATGCGTTTATTGATTAAGGGCTACTGCCTACTGCTCTGGTTCTGCTCTTCACTCTCGTTCACTCTTATTCACTCACTCACTCCCAAACGAACCAAGGTCACACTGGACGGCACTTCATCTTTTCTTCGTCGGCGTCTTCAGGGACACATACACGACCATACAAAGGCACTCTTCGTCCTCACTCTGTCAACTTTACTGCATCCAACTGGTTTCTCTACCATTGTTATACACGTCCCAGACCTCGTCTAGCGTGGCAAGAGTCGAACCGCTACCCAGCATCCACCGCAGAGGCACTCTCATCGAAATTCCAAGAAACCACGTCCAGAGTCATCCAAGTCATGGCTTTCTCATTCACAGCTGCAATCGTCCTCTTCACGATCCTTAATACCACAACCGCCTCTCCCCTCACGAAGCGCGACGCCGGCTACGCGATCCCCGAGGGCGCCATCATCGTCCTCATCTTGGCCGGCGCGGGGTTGCTCGTCTGCATGGGTTACGCTATACATAAGACCTTTGGATTCCGAAAAAATCCCAATGAGTTCAGACATATCAGCGCGGAACAACAAGAGTACATGGCCGAGGTGCGGGTCAGGAATATGCAAGGACTGATGGTGGAGGGTGCGAGGAGTCATAGGGGTGGTCCCAGGAGGGGGGAGGTGGTTTATGATTAGATGACGGGTCAGAGAATTGGAGGCAGGTTGGTGTGAAGATGTATAAGCAAACATGGGGTATCATATGTTTAGACTGCCTATCTCTCTTTCGCATACACTGGAGGTCTTTCTCCCCTCTCGTACTTTGGCACAGGATCGCTGTCTTCCAAATTGCCTTCTTGTTGTACTACGTCTCCAAAGAAGACATCTGCGACGTCAGCCCATAGAACCACCCGCTTCATGCCTGTTCTCACACATCTTTCCACTCTGCCCATTCTACCTTCGTTCTTGCCAATCGCGCTGTTCACCGCGTGGACAAGATCTTCCTTCCTGATCTCTTCGTAGTCGTGAAACTCCAAGATGACTTGGTCTGCGTACATCATGTCGGGATTCGACCACGACGGAAGAGGAGCATTTGGTGTGTACCGAATGGCGAAGAGATGGCGTGTGTACGTGGTGATGATGGTAGGTCGAGATCCCTGTGATGTATTCTGCCGAAATGGTGTCGCTGCGGTCCTGGCTTCTTGTAGTTTGTTAGTACTACTCCTCATCTCATGTGACCGTATCGGGGTTCATAGTGCACACTAACCAAATGAAGCCACGCCATCTATGACATCCTGTACCAAATCACCTGCCTTCTTCACCCTGGCATCTTGCGGTCCAAAGCCGCCATGCGCCATGGATGTTTCAATTTCAATGCCACGGGGTTCTCCTCGTTGCCTTGGTTTTCTGCGGACGGCTTCGGTTGCCCATATCTCCATCAGCTTCGTCCTCCGGCTTCCACCGCGGTCCTTGCGGTTCATATGTTCCACATCTTCGCGCGATCGAATCTCAGTGATGTATGCCGAGTCCGCGGGATGGTGATCAACACGATGTCCCCATGCAGCGAAATCACGGGCTATGAAAGGTACAGTCGTCAAGAAAGGGCGAGTGTGTTGCGTAGTGTGGATAAGGTAAACCTTTGCGCCTTGAGATACGGTCGACATGTTGAAGATAAGTTGAAGATAATGATTTAAATGTCTGTATCGGAACGACCGTCTTTATACAGAGCTGGACAATGGATGAAGACTTTAGAAAAGGCCGAATAAAAAAAAACTATTTTGTTTCATACTCTCATACAGACAGCGTGTTTGACATGAGTACGACACCACTGCAAGCAGTACGGCCGGCATGTCAAGGCGTCATGGTCAGAGCTTTCGGTGAAGTGAGGCGTTTCAGCACAGCGCTGACTTATCTTTGGGCTCTCAAACGGCCATCACGACATAGCTGAACACGCAACGGCCGCTGCTGGGTGCGCGCGCAACAACAAACGCCCAAATTGGAGGCTGGCTGAGTGCACGATAGCACATTAACCAAATGTCGGTCTGACATAGCAACAGTGCTGAAATGGCGTGTCGTCTGAGAGGCGAATAGGGGAGGAAGCTGCCCAGCTGCCATGTGTTGGACGTTACTGCGTGCGCTAAACCTTCAGCTTCCTGCAGGGTACCCATGGCGCATCTATTTTCCGGCGACGAATCCGGAGATAGCTCCTCAGCCTCCTTCCCCGCGTCTACCGAACTGAGGTGCGACAATCAGTCAGCCACGATCGTCCTCGTGTCGCAACTAATGCGCATCTTCGATCTTTTCTGGTCTGCGAAAGATTCGGCTCTAGAGTGTTGGCGTGAATTTGGAATGCGACGTGGTTTAGGGCTGTTAGATCATTAGCAGCACACTGACTCGCATGGCATCCTTGACATCCTCTTGAATCGCTGCATCACATTTCATTCTTTCCAGGGAAGAGGCTGTCACGACAAGGCTGTCCTGTCTCTGTGTTCGACCTGGATATGAGGCGACCTAAACTCGATGACACAACAACATTTGTGTCTAATGCGCAGAAGTTTGTCCGCACGCGCCATATGGCTAATACGTCCAGCGCAGTCTTTCGGCACAATCACGCTCTTGTAGAGTAACACGACCCATAATCACTGATCCCTTCACATTGCTCATGATACGCGACCCCTCTCCACAGAGTCTTCGCATCATGTTTGCTGCAAGCACTTCCAGAAACTCGCGCTCTTCATGCCGCACGCGCCCCCAATACCCATGCACACCACCTCTACAACAATGCTCACCTACATCCACCATCCAGCGGGCCCAGTCGTAATCCGCACAACGCACCCCTCCATCGCGCTCTGCTACCAGAAATGTGGCTGGCTGACTACATCATCCTTTGCCAAAGTCCTACGTGACCACCCATAATGGCAGTCTACACCCATCTCGCCCACCACTACAACTATGACCCCGTCTACTGAGTCTCACGAGAGCACATTCGCACGTATTGCTTCTACAGTACTGTTCTCACTTAGCGCCATAATAGCTGTAGTGCCAAGTTATGCACCCGTAGTGGTAGGCAGTATTGCGCCTTTATTTGTAGGTGAAGTTGGGCATGCTACAGATCAAGAAAAGCGAAAGGAATTCGTCAGTAACGCAGCGCCGGTGCATTGGATGACGGCGGTAGAACGAACCTGCTATCAAGACCAAGGCTTGCCTGTTCCGACAACAGGCTGGCTGAAGTGTAATCGAAGGTGTGAAGCGATTGAGCATAGACTTGAGAACGGCGAACTCGACCTTGACGTTTCACCACCAGGGTACCAGGCAACCATAAGCATACGCTAGGATGCATGTCGATTGATGATGCAGGATGCTGTGACGAATGAACAACGGATATGAATAGTACACAGCATTCTAATCGTATTGTTGGCACTATGGTATCTCGCGAGCTGAAAACAGCTAAAAAGAAAAGAGCGTTTGGTATCTTTTGGACATCACCCACACATGCGATAAATCATCCGTTCCTCGTACGAGAACATCATCCCAATATTACGCCGTGGTATCGGGCCATTCCATCCTTCTCTTTGTACAAATAAACACATTACCCCATGTATACACTTGGCACTCGTATCTTGGAGCACCTGTCTTATGTACTCTTCGTTTCTTCTGGCCGTTCTACAGATCCGCGCTCTTGGGATTCACCAGGTAAATGTCTGGCACCTTTGGCACCTGGGGACTCTTTTGTAATGCCAGTTTGATCGCATCTCTTGTCTTGGCCCCTTCCTTGTTGTCCCCACCGCCGCCAGTCAGTCGCCTCATGCCGCTCCTAAAGCGGCTGCGCGTATCGTGAGCGACAGGTTTGATGATGTTCTCCAGACTAAAAGTCCCGGCTTTGTCTGTGCTGTTCGAACGACCGGCCGAGTACTCGTCGTCGGAGAATGGCTCGTTTTGTTCGTCAAGAGTGGTGGACGAGACTGAAGGTGAAATGCGCTGTGGTTGGTTTGGAGCGGATGGTGACGTCACTGATCGGGAATGCAGACCAGGGCGGGGGTGGCTTGTTGGGGGTAAGGTACTCGAAGAAGAGTTGGCAAAAGAGCTGAAAGCGCCCGGGGTCATGACACCAGGATCCCTAGCCGGGGAGAGCTTGACATCAGAGATGAACCCCGACTGGAATGATGTCACGGATGCGTTCCGCGTAAGAGATTTGTGCAAGATAGGCGCCGTTTGCTGATCGTATAGATTCTCACGCATATCGTGAGCAAACGATCCATTCGCATAGCGCCCTGAGGACGAGAAGTTTGGTAGGTCTGTCAATGTCTCAGCATCGTCATCATCCTCAAAGAAGTCGTCCAAGCTGTCTAATTTCATGACCAGTTCACCGATGTGACTGTCGCCCCGAGTATCTTCAGAAGTCATGGTCGCTGTTCGGTGGTAGTCGGATAAGGGGCTGAACGGGAATTCTTCTTGGCGAAATTCGACTTTGGGTGTCTCGGTGTCTGGCACGTTCATCTCACCGAAATTTCCGCAGGTGTAGAAAACGGCGTGGACGTTGGCCCTCGTCAACTGCGAGTGCAAAGCGGGGATCGGAATTGACCAGCCGCTTTCTTCAGGAATACCGTACAACGATTGCGTCTTCTCGAACTGTTTCTTGTACCCTCTGGTGGAGTGTGAACCTGCCATACTCATACGAATATGCTGCTTGTCGAACGGCGTAAGAGTACTAGTCATATTGAGATTGATGACGAAGTCCAGAACCCTCAGAGCTTGAGGGCAATACGCACTCTGTAGTAGTCGTAGAAGAGGCGAAAAAAGATCGGACCCTTTGGAGGCCATCTCCGGCTTGCGCATATCGATCTCGGGTAACAGGACGCAGAGCACTTCCATTATGTTGATCTTCATCCAATCGATGTTGTTCATCAAGAGACCGAGGAGAAACACGAGGCTACCGAACTCATGATCTGGGAAGAATGTTGAACGGATAGCGGACATTGTCTGCGCGAGAAAATCTTTCTCTTGACGATACCTCTTCATTGCGAAGGCTGTTAACGCTTCGGAAAGCGATGTGCACTGGTAGTGTTGATCGGCGACCTTTGCAAGCACTTCGGCAGTGGCTCGGACACTAGAATCTTTTGCTGTAGAGTCGAACGAGCGAAGGAATCTTGGCAGATTTGCGAGAATGGTGTACATTAGTCGGCTATCGTCGCCCACGATGCGGCTGGGAGGCAGAACCACCAATCTCTCCAGAATTCGTAAAGATCGGTCCAGACATGTACTCGACCGGATACCCTTGTACGTCAGTTGAGCAAGGCCTTCGAACTTGCCTTCCCATTTATCCGGGCAACTTTCTTCCAGGATTGCCAGCACCTCTTCGTCACCCAGATCAAGCTTGTCTAGGAACTTGTCTAGCATCAGTAGGCTCTCCATGAACTCGCCTTCGTGTATGGTATCCAAGCATGCGCAAGTGGTCCAGAACAATTGAGGGTACTGTATGAGGTCGTCCGGTGCTAGCGCTTCGATGATCGTTCGTAACGTCGTAAGTATCTCCATAGAGAATGTCTGTATATCACTCTCCTCGTCTGATATGGTGTTGGAAAGTCTTGCAAGCATGTCGGAGAGCATTTGCTGATCGAGCGAGCTCAAGATGCAGCGGAAGAGCTGGAATGATCGACATGCAATATGTCGGACCGGACAGGACGTGGCCCAATTCAGTGCGACTCGCCCCCAAGCTTCCCGAAGCCCAGGGTACGCG